TGGAAAACTCCCGGAGATTTGGTGGTGGAACCTGGTGAGGGAAGGGTTTGGGGAAGAAGAGGGATCACAGTGGGGGTCGAATGCCACAGAAGAGCCCACCCTCCAAAGCATCCATTTCCTCTGGGGGAACCGATCTCTGCAGTCTGGAGATCAGGTGTAAATCTGGGATGTCTCCAGATTCCACCTGGGGTTTGGCAACCCTATGGCCAATAGGTCCGCAGAATGGAGCTACAGACTGTTGGTGGAGATCTCTATTCAAAACAGTTTCAGGTTTGGAGAAAAATCTGAAATGTAAAAAAAATATATATTGGGGGATTAAAAATACCCCTAAACAATAGAAACAATAATACACGAGTGAGCCCTGCCCCCCAGTGGCCACTGCACAACTGCTCCGGTCTGGCGGTGCCACTGCATAATTGGCCCTGGACCAACATAGGGTTGCCAGCCTCCAGGCGGGGCCTGGGGATCTCCTGCTTTTACAACTAATCTCCAGCTGACAGAGATCAGCTCCCCGGGAGAAGGTGGCTGCTTGGAAGGGTGGACTGTAGGGCATTGTGCTATGCTGAGGCCCCACCCTCCCCCAAACCCCGCCCTCTCCTGGCTCCATCCCCAAAGTCTCCAGGTATTCTCCAACCCAGACCTGGCCACCCTAGACCAGCAGCAGCAGTCACCACACAACTGCCAGGTAGTAGTGGCCTTTCTGAAACTGGGCCTGGCCTACTGGTGGTGGCCACCATGCAACCGGGCCCAGCGTGGCAATAGTGGCCACTGGGACCAGCCCAGCAACAGTCACTATCAATGTTCCCTCTAAGCTGTGGAGTCTTGTGAGCAAAAATTCAACTTCATGAGTTACTGGTATTAAAGTTGTGAGCGAGCAATTTGGCTGCTGCATAAATTAGTGTGCTCTGGAGCCATCCTTCCTGAGCTCAGACAAAACTGTGTGAGCCAGAGGCTAAAAAACTGTGAGCTAGCTCACACTAACTCAGCTTAGAGGAAACACTGGTCACTATACAACTAGGTCAGACTTTCCCTGGGGAGATGTGGCCAGGGGAGGGAAACAGAGAAAGCTGAAGAAAGGGGGACTGGTGGGTAGGTAGGCTGACTGATGGATGGGAAGGAGAGAAGGAAGCAGAAAAAGGGGAGAGGCTATGGGGGATGGCAGGGTAGGGAAACAGAAATCAGAGGGGAAGGGTAGTCGATGTTGTTGTTGTTGTTCAGTCGCACAGTCGAGTCCGACTCTTCGCGACCCCATGGACGAGCTCTCTCCAGGCCTTCCGGTCTTCTGCCGTCCTCTGAAGTTGGCTCAACTTCATGTTCGTTGCATCGATGACACTGTCTAACCATCTCATCCTTTGCCGTCCCCGTCTTCTTTGACCTTCAATCTTTCCAAGCATCAGGGTCTTCTCCAGTGAGTGCTCCCTTCTCATTTGGTGGCCAAAGTATTTGAGCTTCAGTTTCATTATCTGGCCTTCCAGGGAACAGTCAGGGTTGATTTCTTTGAGGATTGACTGATTTGTTCTTCTTGCAGTCCAAGGGACTCTCAAGGGTAGTGGATACAGGGGGGAATTAGATATTCCTGCAAGTCCCTGTGGATCCCCTACTTGTAGATCCCCTAATAAACGAGCAAACAAATAAATCTCCCCTTTGATACTCTTTCAGTGACCAGAGCACCTTGAGTTAAATGTATACCAATTTTCAGCCTTCTGAGACATGCAGGAAACAGCCAGAGGATTCTGAAATTGCTACCGGCATTTCTTAACTTGTGAAGCAGGATTAAGGAAATTCTGCAAAACGATGAGCTTTTTCAGGACCCAGGATCAGATGTTGCTCCTTCCTTGATTTCATGTGGACTGCTGCTGCTGCTCCGATATTTTCTATTATGTGTTTACAGCGGAGACACAATGAGCGAGCGGCTCCTCGAGCAATCAAGTGCAGTTGTCCCCACTACAATGAATGGTGGTCTGAATGCATTCTTTATCACAGGCCATCTATAATTGGACAGAGGCGAGGAGGGGAGAATAACAGTTTCTCTGACATGTCCTAAGCCTCAGGCCTGTGGGACTCTCCTGATGAGAACAATCAGCTGAAGTGCTACTTCTGACGCTGAATCCCATCTTTAATTACTATTGATCTCGACACAAATAAGCAGAGATAAACAAACAGAGTTCCATCTATGCTCCCATTCGGCGTTATTAAAGAGAGCGGCGTGGAATCTGCATATTTATATTGGCCGAGGTGCTTTTATTTTTCAGTTAGGCAAAGCAATTAGGCGAGGGAGATTAGAAAACTGATTGGCAATAAATCCAGGAGGGACATTTGTTTTCCCCTGCTGCTGTACGGAGCTCCAGCTCCGTGTTCACAGGACACTTGGGTGCTCGTGGTGGAAAAACCAGGCACTTCAGCGAGAATCTGAGCGGGAATTCATAAATGGGAACGACCCACAAGGCTGTTCTGCCCTGCACGTGTCAGAGGGTAGTTGTGTTGGTCTGCAGTAGAAGGGCTGGAGCGCAGTCCAACAGCAGCTTAAGAGACCAAGATAATTTTTTTTGCGAGTCAGGGGGAGCTTTGGTTGGTCTCTAGAAGAAGAGTAGAAGAAGAGATTGGATTTATACCCCGCCCTTCACTACCCAAGGGAGTCTCAGAGCAGCTTACAAACTCCTTCCCCTTCCCCTCCCCACAACAGACACCCTGTGAGGTGGGTGGGGCTGAGAGAGCTCTAGACAGAAACGGCTCTTTTTTCAAGAACAGGCTCTTATCAGAGCCACGACTTGCCCAAGGTCACCCAGCCAGGTGCAAGTGGAGGAGTGGGGAATCAAACCCGGTTCTCTCAGATTAGAGTCCGCGCACTTAACCACTACACCAAACTGGCTCTAAGACACTCCCGGACTCAAATCTAGATGTTCTACTGCAGACCCACACAACTACCCTCTAAAACAGGTTAAATGGAGATCACTTAATTCTGGCTGACCTGCATGCCTGCATTTGTACACCATGTTTTTGTTTTTGCTGTCAAGTCACAGCTGACCTATGGCAACCCCATAGAGCATGGGTGTCAAACACACGGCCCATGGGCCAGATGTGGCCTCTTTAGGGCTGCTATCTGGCCCACCAGCAACTGGCTCTCTGCTGCTTCCTGTTGGCTTTTGCCCAGTCTCTCCTATTTCCTGCTTTGCAGAGAAGAGAAAGAAAGCCAAGCCTCCCTTCCCTTGATTGGCTGGGGAGAAAGGGGGAGGGAAATAGCCCGAGCCAGAGCAGAGAGAGAGAGAGAGAGGGAGGGAGTCCTGTGGCATTTTTAAGAAGATCAACAACGTTTTATTCCAGGTATAAGCTTTTGTGTGCAACCACACTTCTTCAGCGGAGGGGAGAGGGAAGAGCCAGAGAGAGAGAGAGTCCCATGGCACTTGGAGAGATCCCCCTTTCCAGTTCTAAAAGATGGAGGGTGGGGGAGGAAGAAACCTAACAGCACAGCATGCATTCTTTATTAGTGGAAGGGAGCAAGAGTCCATCTTAAAGACTAACAAAATTTGTGGCAGGGCATGAGCCTTCATGAGTCACTGCTCACGTCTTCAGATACAGCTAGAATGTGTGTCCGTCTGTCCTTGTATCTTGGAGAGCGAAGTGAGAATGCCCTGGAAGGCTAAAATGTCCCCCCACTGTTTTTTGAATGTTGTGGTTTCTAATAGCAGTAGAAAGAGTCCAGTAGCACCTTAAAGACTAACAAAATTTGTGGTAGGGTGTGTGCTCTCGTGAGCCATTGCTCACTTCTTCAGACTTAATTCCATTTATTCTTTGCATTATCCTGGACTGAATCCTCCTGTACCAAACTGAGAACTAGGTTTCCTGTCTCATTACCAGTGCTGGTATCTCCCTGCGTACTACCCCTCTGCATATCACACCTAATCTAATCACACCTTCTATTGCCATTTGGCATCTGAAACCATCTTTATGAACTTTATATCTCCAGTACCTCATGTTACATTTTATGACGCACACGGCCCGGGCCCAGCGAAGTGACATTTATGTCAGATCCGGACCTCATAACAAATGAGTTTGACAAGAGACTTCAGAGGTGGTTTTCCATTGCCTGCCTCTGTGTAGCAAACTTGGACTTCATTGGTGGTCTCCCATCCAAGTACTAACCAGGGCCAATCCTGCTTAGCTTCTCAAATCTGATGAGACTGGGCTAGCCTGGGCTACTCGAGTCAGGGCTACATCACAGTTACCCAGAGTTGATTATTGAACAATATTCTCCATACGGAAAGGAAGGGGGGAGGAGGGAGGTATACGCATTGGCCCAGTGATTGACTGGATTCATGTACATGTCAGTTTAATATGAGGCTTAATCATGAAGCCAGATATCAGCCTCAGAAAGGGCTGGAAGCAGGGGTCATTTCCTGCGGGAGCGCACAGGAGCGGAGCTCCGGCAGTAAGGAGTCCAGGGGGCGGGCACATGCAACAAGCCCCACCCCCTGCTCCCAGCAGCCCTCAGTCGGGCCACGAGGAGCAAGAAGCAGCCAGGTAAGTTGCAAAGCCCCCCCTGGCCCACCTTCAGGTACAAGCTTTCCCTCCTCTGTGAGGGGAGATCTGTGCATTCCCCCCCCCCCATAGTCCAGTGGCACCTTTAAGACCAAGTTTTATTCAGGTATAAGATCTCCCTCCTCTGTGAGGGCAGATCTGCACGTCCCCCCCAATAGCTAGCAATCCAAAACAGTCCAGTGGAGCCTGAGCGGTGGGTGTTGCCTTCTGACACACTTCCAGTGATGTCAGGGGGTGTGTCATATGCAAATAAGTTATGCTAATGAATTATGCTAATGAGCTCCTGCACCTCTTTTTCTACGAAATGACCCCTGGCTGTAATCGACCCCATTTAGGACAGCTGTTGCTATGGCTAGAACCAGGAGCCCCTATTACGACACTGGAGCAGGGCCTGAGGTGGAAGCCTGACAGTTAGACTGGACGTATTGGTACAAAACGCAAGAACAGGAAAATGTGATCATTACCTGGAAATTTTCCTTCTTTACAGCGGGCCGGTCCACAGATCCCAACAATGGCTCTTTGGCCTCTCCCTTGCTGTTCTGGAGGAAAATTGGACCTGTGAGTTATAGCGAAGGAAACAGCCTCCTGCCAGTCTCCCCTCCCCCAACCCCACAGAAAAGCCAGCCCCCCCCAAAAAAGAAAAGAATTGGTTTCTGAAATGCGAATGTCAGTTATTCAATGTTCCATATTGAACTCTGAGAAATGTGCCAAATTTAAAATTCAGACTTCTTTCTGTCATTCGATCAAAACATATTACCACCACCACCCCCAGTCCACTCAAATGTGCAACAGAGTGCCTCTTGCCATCATTTTCTCTGCGGGTTATTAATCAAAGAATCATAGAATGTTAAGAGTTGGAAGGGACCTTGCAGGTCATCTAGTCCAGCCCCCTGCACTCTGCAGGAGCACAGCCAACCCCCTTGTCGGGAGATCGGTTCCAAGCCCTGCACTCTTCTCAGTTCTCCCTTCTGCCTTGGCCCGACTTCCCGTGAAGAGGAATGAACCCTAAAGGAAGGCCCAATCTAGGGTTGCCTTGCATGACCCAGCAACTGGCAGGAGATGGGGAGAAGCAGGTACTTACTGCGGGGGGGGGGCAGTGATCTTTGTTGCCATGTGATGATATCACTTCCGGTGCGACCCGAAAGAGTGGCATCACACCAGGGCGATGCTCTAGCACTCACCACAAAACTCCATGGAGTTTTTTTCTAGGTGAGTGCTAGAGCGTCATCCTGGGGTGATGCCAGTGCTTCCGGGTCACACGGGAAGCAACATCACCATGCGGTGACAGAAACTGCCACCCCCTCATTTTGCCGGCCCTCTTCCACCCACCGACCAGTTGAACGTGGGCAGATGTTAGCAACCATTGGCAGGAGCTCACCTGCCATTAGCAGGCACCTGGTAAGCCTAGCCCGAGCCCTTCTTTCGTGCAATAAACGAGGGAGCTCTCTAAGCGTCCAGGACAAAAAAAAGTACTAAAAAGTATTTTGCCAAGTCTGAGACCTCATTTGTGTGACTAACCTTTAATTTGCTGAAGTCAACAAAGTGGGACTTTCTTAAAAAGCTGAGCAGGGCTTATGAATAGGCCAAAGAACTCAACTGATCCTTTAAAAAACTCACTGAGAGGGTGGAATGAAACAGGATGATGAATACCTTGCTATCTACATGCTATCAATCTCACTAAACGCTCTGTAGTTCAATTTGTTCTTTCTGCTCTTCACGTTAGGAGCCGGTATGCCTCGCCTGTACCCAGGAATTGATTTGTTTTTACAATTTATTTATATTAAAAGAAATAATTTGGGACTTTTTAAAAAAATTGCCCATGTGCTTCAGCATATACATGCTCAAATTTCCAAACAGGAATTGGCAAGCAACATGAGTCAAACCAATGGTTGCCAGCCTCCAGGTGGGGCCTGGAGATCTCCTGGAATTGCAACTGATCTGCAAATGACTGAGATTCATTCACCTGAAGAAAATATCTACTTTGGAGGGTGGACTCTATGACATTATACCCTGCAGGGGCCCTCCCCTTCCCCAAATCTGCTCTCCCCAGGCTCTGTCCCCCAAAACTTGTATTTCGCAAAGAGGAGTCGGCAACTTTAGTTGAACCTACTAATAAATCTTCCATTCATTGTGAAACAAACAGTTGTGTGAACCGGCTCCAAGCTGGAAAGTGCCAGGTGCTGGTGGTCATGGAAGTACACCCAGGCACTTCACACACAAATGTTCTATTCTGTTTGGAAAGGTTGAGTCGGGATTCCCCAACCTTTTTGAGGCGGTGGGCACACTTGGAATTTGGACACAAAGTAGTGGGCACAGCCACAGCACGGCTGTCATGGGATGGGAAGCCAACTTCAAAACAGCTGCCTTGAGAGGTGCAGGGGACAAAAGGAGTAATGTAAAGAAATACACTGGGAAAGAGCCATGAGAAAGAGAAAATGAACTCGGTAGCGGTCGCTGCCACCCAAACAGCGCCATTTTAATGCATGCAGCCAATCAGCTTTCCAATAGCCAATCAGAAGCCCTGCTGGATAGGAGCCCCACCCCTTTCTAAGAACACTTGACAGACACTAGGAAAAGTGTTGGGGGGCATCACCTTGGGCACCAACTTGGGGACCCCCGGGGTTGAGATATTTGAAGCTGCTCACGAGACTGAGGCCAGCTATTGCTATCAGTTTGGAGGTGGACAGGATTTTAATAAGTCATGCTCGGTTTTGCATCCGGGAGCCTGCACTTAGAGGAACAGGTACTCTGCCGCTGTGCCACGGTCATTTCATTCCGTTCCCGAGAGAGAGAGGGGGGGGGGGGACTTGCAGCTTCTCCTCCATCACTATGGTTCTGACCCCTCCCCACTCTCCCTTTTGATCTTGCTTCTCCCTTGTGTGACCGGAGCCCACGACGCTTTGCTCTGTGTTGCTGTCTATTTCCTAGCGCTGACTTCCTCCCACAAAGTAGATTCATTTCCCATCATTATGTACAACAATAAAGCAGCATTATACATTATGTGGATATTATACATGCAGAAAGCATGCACATTTTATATAGAAATATATCATAAAGGCGAGAACCAAATTCATTTACAAAAAAAAAAAAGGCACAAAATACAGAACGTGCGCTCACACCCAATTCTGACTTCCAATTCACTATTCCCAGAAATCTGGAGAAGTGGTATGGGGACTCAATATGTTGCTTGCGTGTGGTTGGTTGCAACATTATCAGGACTTAGCTAGTTAAACACATTCCAACATTTGTCGATTATCTTCCCATTTTCTTGGATTTTAAAAATCAAATTCTTCCTAGAATTTTGTAGGGCATGTGGAGGTAGAGGTAGAAAGATAACTGAGTTCTTTTTGTGTATTTAAGCTGTTCTGAGTTCAACTTCAAATCTGGCTGAGCTATAAATTCACTGAAGATGCCCTCTGTCATTACTAAGGGATAGTCATGCTTGTCTACCTTTCAGGGGTGCTGTATGGATGACTGAGATAACCCATTTACTGAGAGCACTAAGGGAAAGCTCTAAATCTAAAGATTGCAGCTTTAATTTCGTTATACTATGTACAATGACAATAAAATATATTATTATTATTATTATTATTATTATTATTATTACAACCAATTATGAAGTATTTTACAGATAGAGAAAAGCTCAGTCCGATCAATGTGAGAACTGCGCCCCAATGCTCAGCGCATAGCACAGAAAGGAGGACTCTCCAAGAAACAGGAATCACTTCTCCAGACGTGCCACTAACAACCATGAGCCAAAGATAACTGGAAATGAATGATGCTGGAGCGGCTTTGGGCTGGTTTTGTATCTTGCGGGGATGGGCACGGTAATTTCGGTGCTCTCTTCTAGCTGTCTCCCAGCAAGAACACATTGTTAGTTGCATTCGAGAAAACCAGGCTTAGTTTGCAGAGCCAAGGCTGCAATAATCCTTGGGAGGGAGAGAGTCCCATTGATAATTAGTGGGTCTTACTTCAGACCAAAAGTGCAACTATGTTAACGGTTGGATTTACAACCAAGAGTACAAGGATCCCCTCAAAGAACAGCACCAAAGCTATTTTACATGTGAAAAGAAGAAATACAGAACATTTCTACTGTGTCAAAGGACATAATAACCTAAGATGGTGCTGGTCTTAGTCACAGTCTTTTGGGATGTTTATGAGGCCCTATGAGGTGGCGGTGAAGGCTGCGAAGAAGGCGTCCTGCTCAACCTCCACCGCACCTGCAAGCTCACGCCCAGCACAATTGGTTAGGGTACTTTGGCATTTGAGGTCCCTCTCAAGAGGGAGCCAAAGGAACAGCAATTCAGCTATTACCATAGAGATTACCATCACCAGAATCCCATCTTGCATCACCAGAATCCCATCTTGAGACAAATTGAGCACCTTGTACTGTATAATTGATTGATGGTTTTATCAGGTTTTAGCTGTTTTAATTATTGGCATGTGTGCCTCATCTGTAAGCCGCCCTGAGCCCGCTTGCGGGGAGGGCGGCCTATAAATCTAATAAATAAATAAATAAATATTAGCTGTGAGGCTTTTGCGAGCTTTTTTTGCGGATAAAGTCCTGTCGCTTTGTCATGACTTACTGGCCAGCACTGATACAGTAAATGAACTGGAGGCCCCCTTGGCCATCTTTGGACTGAGTCTTAGACACCTTCGGCCTGCTGTCCCCTGCTGATGTTGACAGGATCCTGGGTGCTGTTCGACTGACCACGTTGGCCCCCTGGATCCGTGTCCCTCATGGCTGGTGAAGGCTGGCGATGAGAGGGAACGGGGCCCACTGGGGGACATTATCCATCGGTCCCTGGAAACAGGGGTCTTCCCAGAGGGTCTTAAGGAGGCTGTGGTTGTACCACTCTTAAAGAAACCACCACTGGATCCAGCCAATTACCACCCAGTATCGAATGTACCGTTTCTGGGTAAGGTGATTGAGAGAGCGGTAGCCAAGCAGTTCCAGAGTTTGCTGGAGACGGTGTTGGCTGCCCTAACATACGATCTCCGTAGGCAGCAGCTGGATTGGGGTGGGGTGGGGGGCGGCGCTGCTGCTGTTACTCGATCTCGCAGCAGTGTTCAACACGGTCGATTACGAGCTTTTGACCCATCGCCTCGCCGATGTGGGGATTTGTGGGGTAGCCTTGCAATGGCTTTCCTCATTTCTCCATGGTCAGGGACAGAGGGTTGTGCTGGGGGGAGAAGATATCCTCTAGGTTCCCACTGTTATGTGGCGCTCCTCAGAGGGCAGTCCTCTCCCCGATGTTGCTTACCACCTTCACATGCGCCCCCTCGCCCAGCCGGCTCAGAGCTTTGAGCTTGGGTGCCTGCTTGGGAAGGCTTCGGGACTGGGGTTTCCGATCCAGCCCTTGACGGGGTGCCATGAACACCAGTGCACTCTGTCAGCAGCGTGGGTGTGACCTTAGATGCTTCCCTATCTGTGGAGGCACAAGTCACTAATCCTGCCAGACTAGTGTTTTACCATCTGTGCCAGGCACGGCTGCTGGCCCCTTTCCTGTCACTCCCTCACCTGGCCACAGTACTCCAT